AGACTTATCATGTGTAGTATGTGTATAAGGCTTCTCTTGATACGATTAATATACTTGCCCAGGTACCTACCTACCTACCTACATATGCCTAGGTGCTCAAGTAATCAGGTAATCTAAAGCTCATACAATATTCCCGTCTGTTCAGAGTATGCCTTTTCAGCCACGTATTTACACCAAGAACAAGCGCGGTCCCATATCGAAACGAAAGGTATCTAGCAGGTAGATTTCCTCAGGTCCTGGACACTTCCGAAATGCGGACCTTGTCATATATACTGCCTACGAAGCGTTTTACGAGTAGCCGAGCTGTTAACCCCCGTCCGAATAGTAAGGCACTTAACTATATGCATCCACTCGCACTTAGTAGCTGTCACACGTCACCATAGAAAGTGACAGTAGTCATACCAAATATTAAGGCATTGCGGTAATAAGGGAACTATAAATAACTACAGCCTCAAGTTTCAAGGTCCAACCACTAACCACTCACTAATCCATACTCATATTTGCTTGTATACACACTAGATAATTAAGCTTATCGGTATATTATACGAACACACTAACACTTTCACCCGAACATATTCAGCTAATCTGTCCAGCCATAATCGCGTTGTGTGAGAAACAATATGTGTTGGTCGAGCGTGTATGTGTTCGTGAACTGTAAACTTCGGAAGATCCGACGAATTTGTTCTTCTACAATTATGGATAACCTTTTTTCCAAGGCTATATATTTGGCCTCCTGCCCCGGGTTTTACTGATGATCATAATAATCAAAGATATTACCCATAGTTACCTATCCGATTACCAAGAACTCACGATGTCAGGATCTCTGCCCTCTCAGCCAATCTACAGAAGAGAAGATTTGTTGAGAATCGAAGAAGAACTAAACAAAGCTGGCTCGCACATCGAATATAAAAGCCGCCATGGGGTCCTCTTCAAAAGGTTAAACCCCTTACCCGGAGTAGGTTATATTGAAGTACCGCCTCACCATACAGCAACAAGAAATTTCATTACAACTGGGGGTGAGAAGGAACTAAACCATGCTGCCTTCGAATCTAGGGCGGAGTGGTTTACTCCTCTGGATGTTGTCCCGATGCAGATTCACGGGCCAAACCTAACCGCCGAGGAGGCAATAAGATATATGGATGCTGAGATAAGTAAGTGGGAAAGTAGCGCAATGTGTGCGAGCTTCTTTGAAGGAATTAAGCAAGTATTGCCCCGGAACGCAAAAAAGATTGTCGCCTTTGGTTTGGGGCCAATCGGAATCTTACATTATGACAGCGACATTAGAATACAAGATATTCAGAGTTTCAGGGAGCACGCATATGTGCTTACCGTAGCCAGAGCGTTAAGCCAACGTAATGGGTTCCGCGTACCAATTTATGTTCAGGATCCGAGTTACACGTCGGTATGCAAACAGGTATTACCTGCGAGGTACGGAATCGAAGTTATTGGGGGTTGGGGTGCTCGCGGTTTCTTACTAGTTGACGATGAAACTGTTGTCATGAATCACCATGCCAATTACGCCATGCGAGAGATTATCGCAAGCATTGCCCGACCTGCCGCAATGTGCTGGGCACCTAACAGACGGAGACAGTTATTTGAGGGCACCCCGACCCAAAGGGCGTACGCTCGAGACGTCGACTCTACCTTTATTGACAGGATGCTAGAGGTGTATGACTTAGTAGCTATTCCAGGCCTTCGTCCGAAGGTTGCTTATCCCGACGCCAGTTACTTCAGAACAGATTGGATGATCGAACCATTTTATGATAGCGTATGGTACGTACGGAGACAAAGACGTCATACTGGATAGCCTCGATGAATGAACCAAGCATCGTGGAGATGAAAGGAGATGAATACATTAGTTATAGATTGTTTAGTGTTATTTTCGAATACATTAAATTCAACCAACTTTGAAATATCACGGTAACGCAATACCCGTAATAGCAGATAGGCTCACAGCAGTTGTGTTTAAGAAGTAACCTAAGTATAATACGGTATAATCGGTTTTATTCAGTAGGTATTACTCCTGAAGAGGAGGCTAGTAAAATCCAGTTCATTCGCCGCCAATTCTCTGGAGCTCCGCTAGACTATGGATCCTGGATCCTCAACTTGACATTGCTATTCTCAACGCGGGCGTCAATAAAGGCTCCTTTGCCTTGAATCCAACAACGAGCCACGAAGAATGCTTGCAGACTAACAGGTACCTTCCCTCTGTTTTCTTACTTCTCATACTATTGCGCATTTCAAGAAAACGAAATCTACTCCCGCCACCCCGGAAGACTCCCCAGCTCGCATCGTCGTTGTGTCATCAGATATGACCGCTTGGGCCAAATTTAATGAACTAAACGAAGAACCAATGCTACAAGCCTTTGACAACGAGGCTACGTGGACCTAGGGTGACTGCTACCCTACTACTAAGCTCCCAGGACGGTTTTTCGTGGCCGAGATAGCCAAACGTGTACTGCCATCGTGGGCTATCATTAACTGTGCCAATCCGGTTCTCTGCTACGACTCGGTACTAACACGTGATCTTAATATATTTACCGTACTATTTATACGTGCCGTCTGTCGATCATCGGCTATAGGAGCGCATACGCTTGTGAACGCCGCCGTTCAACAAGACGAGAGATCACATGGACAATATATTGAGGATTGCACACTAAGACCGCGAGTCAAAGTAGTAACTAGAATTGCTAGGATGGTGGTGCTGACAGGTACTTATTAGAATGGCACCCTTGGTGTATACAAAAGAGACGGAGCAAATAACTCAGAGGTTACAGACGGAAACGATGAAAGAATCGTCGCCGGCGGGGGGCTTATGAAATTATTAAGGAGCTATCCTTAACTTGAAATTAGCTGGTTTTATGGAGTACCTAGCTTGAGTCCATAGTTGGCTACCACTTAGTCTTTATTACTCGAGGGGTGAATAATGAAGGCTGATTACTAGAAGGACTCTTGGGGATTCCTTGAAGGATTTTTGATTGACTTCGGGGTTTGGTACATCGCTTTGATACTAGTATTTTTTGGGTACCCAACACCTGGGCATTCATCTGTTCTGAATATGATACTAGAACATTTTCTCGTAGCTTACACACGTGAAAGACGTTGATCCTCAAAAAACAAAGCTCTGGAATATGGCAATGAAAGGTTCCGCATATTCGACACAAAGGTATTATACTTTACCTACACGTAACAATCTACCTAGTCATCAAAGCATGAATACCTAACCAAAAGTGACAAATAGGACACAAAACATTGTTGTCCACTGCAGACATAATCATTGTGTATTTTTTAGCGTTCAAGATAGCTTGCATTAATCTTGGTAATATAAAGGTTAGAATATAAAGGAGAAGGCTTCGTTGTTAGTATCCTGAAACTCCATTTAAACCAACATGTACGCTCGCCCGTGACGCTTAACAATCCCTAACCCAGATACAACTTACCTGATTAGATTTACACCGATCGATCTTTGCAGTCGCCTAGTGAAACCGGTGGCAAGTTAAGAAAAATGGATATAGATATCGATACCATCTCCGAAATGGAGACCTACCTCGCTAAAGACGACCTTCCTAAGCCAGGGCGGATGATATCTTTATCAAGAAGGGATATGGACAAGTTCGTAAGGAAGCTTCTTCGTTTGATGAAGGAGCATAGATGGACCGAACCCTCGGGGGGTGAAGACATGGAGGACGCCGACATAGAATGGCTCGAAGATAGAGCTTTTGGACTAAAGAAGCCGACAATTATAGATCTTTGCGATGAGCTTTCATTCCCAAGCCTTGAAATGACAATCGACTTTCTGGATTCCCCCGCGGTACGAACGGCCTTCCGCAAGACTTTTGCGGAACCAGTATTACTAGAGAACATCAGCTATAGCGGCCTCTCAATCGACTTGGTACCGTTGCTCATGCTTTTCGACAATCTTACCGAGATGTCTACTCCCTATACCTACATCAAGCAGGTGATTAACCGGGAGCGGAAGGAAGATGACCGCAACGTTGATGATTACCATATTATAGACTTTGCTATTGAAGTTGCTATCATCATGTTGTACGAACAGCTCCAGGTCAATTTTGGATGGTGCATAACCGAGGTCCTGAAACTTGGCACGAAGCAGCTCATTTATATTGCTTGTGCGATAATAGATTTGCTCACTAGGCAAGCCCAAGGAGAAGAGTTGGAAATTGGCAACGGAGTCTACGTTGCTGCTAGCCCAGCGTCCACCTTCGACAGTCCCGGATCCGATAGTAGCTCTCCTTATCATTCTAGTGGCTCTGTTGATTCTGAGAGTCACGATGATTCTAACGATTCTACAACTCCTACTAGGAATACCGATGACGATGGCTCTGAAACCCCCATCGGTCGTGATGGTTCTCAGACCCCCACTAGTCACGTTGACCCTAGCAGTCCCACAGGCTCTATAATGCCTACCGGTTCCATTGATCCTATGAGTCTTGAACGTTTTATGAGTCCTTCTAATTTTATTATTAGTCCTATGACAAACATTCATAGTTCTCCTATTATTAATCTTGGTAATCCTATGACTTCCAAGTACGTGAGGAGGAAGTTTGAATAGACGTCGGGGTTATTAGGTAGGTATTCAACGTCTGTATTGAAAACAAACCTATTAGAACATATTATTACCTTGGTATGTGCGGCAGTCTTATTAGTTGATCATAATAGGAGCTATTTCGTAGGTATATTAATAAAATTTCATTCGAAAAGTCTTTATTCCCCCCTTATAAATCTAGTATACATATGTGCAAATAATAAGTCAGTGATAATAATAAATGTCCAGACGCGAAGAGTTGAAATGTGGTTGGCGTCCCTAATACGGTTTACCACAGTATCCGTATTGGAGAGATACGGTGTATGCGCACATGATATTGGTCCTTTTTAGGGCTAGGTACCATATTTCTGACCTAGTTCCCCAACCTATCATATTACGCACCTTTTTACACAAACAATATAAAAACCATTAGCAAGTAAAATGCCAATAGCGTGCCCGGTTAGCTCAATCGGTAGAGCGTGAGACTCTTAATCTCAAGGTTGCGGGTAAGTTTATCCCTGTACTAGACGAGATTATCTGCAGTCATATGCTAACATCACCTTGAAGGTTCGACCCCCGCATCGGGCTCAATTCCTGATGCTTCCCAGTGTACTGGGATTAGCAACCAGTTTTTTTTTCTTTTTTATTATTATTGACAATATTATTCCATGAGGTTTGCTGTTACTTATACTTATTTTTATAAGGGTTGATCCATGATGCATCGCAAGTTCGACCTTTACATGAGGTACTATTCCCTCATATGGATCCTTTTTTTCGTGCCTTCCCCGAAGGACCCCGCATTAACTGCGCTCAGTTTCTCATAATAGATAAATTTCTTGCAGCTGTGAATACCTCCTTAGTAGCCTTAAGGGACAAATATAGTCGATGCTAAAATACGGTGATGTGAACACATCCCATCAACAATATTTAATATCTAGCTAGTCTTCTCGTGGCCTGCTGTTGCGACCTCTAATATTTCCTCCTCAAATCCAGGAATGTGTACGAATTTGATGTTGGCATCCTCTAACTTCCGTTTGCTAGAATTATTGCTGATGAACTTCTCTGGTTCGTAAACCCCGACATAAACCGTCTCTATCTTGTTCCCGATGGCCAATATCCTATCCAAGCATGGCAGGTTTCCGCTGAGCCTTTCAGAACATGGCTCCATTGTAGTGTAAAGCACGACTTGGTTCAAGAGGACTTCACCTAGCTGGCTGGCTGCAGTATCGTACTTTTGTGCAAGCTTTTCGAAGCAGCATTGCTCAGCGTGAGTATTACCGGGAAGCTCGAGTGTATACCCCGTCGCCAAGATCTCGTTCGTAACTACGTCTACAACCACGGCCCCAACTCTGTAATTGGTGGGCTTTGGAGGGGATTCGGTAGCAAGTGATAGAGCAAATTTCATGTAAGCTGGATGGTCCCCTGCCTTTATATCGCTCGCTTGCTGAGGAGCATTTTCAGCCATTTTCCAAAGGAGCCAGCTAAATTTCTAGGTGAGTACGTAGGTAGATGATGAGAGGATAACGTTGATAAATGCCTTATTTTGAATACGTGTAGATGCAAGCACACAAACGATTCCGTATTAGGTATTTTGAAGTAAGGTACTTCGTACTGGGTTAAGGTATTTTCCTATGTATAGGTACGTATCCTGATATACCTACCCCGCTATATGTTGTTGTTACATAATATCATATTCTTATCGATAAATCGCGTAAAGAGGGAACGCGTGTAACGCGATTCCCGTGCTTTATCAACCACATCCTATGTACATATAAATCTTGACATTTTGTAGCTTAGTGCTTCATGTTGATTTATCCATCAATTCCCACCTACCATGGAGGACACAGACGATCTTCTCGCTGGTGAGCCGCCTACCATTGATCCGTACGAGGTCCTCAGCTTAGAACGCACGGCAAATGAGAATCAGGTCAAATCAGCCTATCGAAAGCTCGCCCTTAAAAATCATCCAGGTAAGCCACCGGAGTCATCATCGCTCTTGGATCGTACACGTTCTCACATGTGCTCTTCCTTATAGACAAAGTTCCCGACGACCAAAAACAAAAGGCTCACGAAACCTTTCAGTCTATAGCATTTGCATACGCGGTGCTATCCGACCCTGCGAGACGTAAACGCTACGATGAGACAGGTTCAACATCCGAGTCCATTGTCGACTCAGATGGATTCAGCTGGTCGGACTTCTACCGGGAACAGTATCGCGATACGGTCACCGCCGATGCAATCGAGAAATTCGCGAAGCAGTATAAGGGTTCCGACGAAGAAAAAGACGACGTTCTGATCGCGTACGAAGAATTTAAAGGCAAGATGGACAAGATCTACGAGTCAGTTATGCTCAGCGATGTTCTTCAAGACGACGAACGATTTCGTGCGATCATCGACGAAGCCATCGCTAAAAAGGACGTTCCCGCATTCAAAGCTTATACACACGAGAGCAAAAAGTCCAAAGAAGCTCGAGTCAAGGCCGCGCAAAAGGAGAGCGTCGAGGCCGAGGAGTACGCCAAGGAACTAGGAGTGCACGATAAGTTATTTGGTAAGAAGGACGGCAAAGGAAAAGGAAAAGGAAAGAAGGGATCGTCCGAAGATGACCTAGCGGCGCTCATTCGTCGTAACCAACAGGGTCGAAGCAATTTCCTCGACAACCTAGCAGCCAAGTATGGGGCAGCACCGAGCGGCAAGAGGGGAAAGAAGCGTGCAAGTCCTGAAGAAGAACCATCCGAGGAAGCTTTTCAGGCGGCAGCAGCAAGGCTAAAGAAGAAGAGTAAGAAGTAAGATTGAGTTTGATTTCTTTTACGGCGTATACGGTACTAGGGAGACCAGGGAAATCATTAGGACAAGCATGTAATAAGGTTTGAATCGTGAAAGTACTAAGCATTATGCTTGCTTTATTGCATATATAATTCACCAAGTAATCCGACCTATTCCATGTTGCGATATATTAAATGTGTGCGTACCGTATGAACGTGTTGTGTAATTGTTGTAGGTACTTCGTACCTGGTGTATACTTACGTGCCCACTAGCTTAAGCTTTAATGAGTGGGGCGTAGGCGTTGTAGTGCCTAAACGCTTCCGCGTCAGTCGCGTCATCGTAGTTACCTGTCATATCAAACATCCCCTCTTCAATATTTTGAGACATAACACGCTAACCTAGTCTTGTCAGTATTGCTTTTCAGTGGTTGACTCTGTTCACCAAAATGCCATGACAAGTGCGGAACCGCTTATATTCTACCCTGCGTATTGTTTCCATTTGTCGCCGACGATAAACAAATGGTGTCCCCTACGGGCCGTCGACATCCATGGTCTTGAAGGTCGACCTGGATTCGAAGGTATATTATATACCTCTCATATATATCCTCATCAGTAATACCAAGGCTAACACTTTCCAAAGGCGATAATGTCTTCTTCTCCCTAAACCACCCTATTCGTTGGGTTCGGATCGTCGGCGTTGTTGTTGCGATAAGCGAGTATTATGGCTACCGAAACTACACTGTTGACGATAGCACTGGCGTATGCATCGAGTGTGGCATAAATACCCCAAAACCGACCAACGAACCAAGCCAAGGCGATACACAAGGCTCTACCCCAGATCCGTATTCAGACATTGACGTCGGCATGGTCGTCGAGGTGAAAGGTAGCACGAATGTTTTCAGAGAACAAAAGCAGATCAAGGTCGAAAAGCTGCAGATAATTGAATCCACCAACCAAGAGGTCCAGTTCTGGAACAAAATCCTCGACTTTCGTAGGAATGTTTTAAGCAAGCCATGGGTATTGGAGAATAGGGAAGTTCGGCGGTGTAAGAAGCAATATCTGGCTGATGTAGATTCCAAGGAGCGTAAGAAGAGAAGGATGATGGAATCCGGGCTTGCCAGTGATAAACAAAAACGAGATCCGAAACTCGGGGACAAAAGCAAAGAGGCAAGCAAGTCTGCAAAGCCCGAGTCCCTAGCCATGTCGAGAACTCGAGACTCGCACACCAAAAGCCAATACAGCGCGTTAGGACTGTGAATATACCCGTATACATCCCTATACATATCGCTGTTATTTCGCTGAATCATTACGTGGCATGTTCGATTTGTACATTTAGTACATACGGTATAAAGAGCTTCTGGGCCTATAATGGGTATCGTATTATTCCAGTCTTTCGTCCGCCTTGATTACAGGGCATGACCCTTGATTTTATTAACACATCGGATACTTACGTTATTGAATAGAAGATGGGAACGTTGCTCTCTAAACGAAGCGATATAAGACCTAGACAAGCTAATAAGTGTATAAAAGCTCAAATAAAACGTAAGAGGTAAGTCATGGTCAAAAAAAAATTTTAAAAATTTTAAAAATTTTAAAAATTTTCCGGACGGTGAATGGCCACCGGCGACAAGATGCCGTCCGAGCCTCCGACCATGAGGAACCTAACTCGCCAACGTCTTTAAAAGATGCCTTGGGGCCGTGTCCTACGCGGGATAATATATCATCACCTAACCTAGGTTAGTGGCCTACCCACCTTTTACCTTATACCCTAGTATTCACTCCTCAATATAGCAGCTTGTCTTTTCGGTATTAGAATGTTAACGACATCATGTATAATGTTGGAAAGGTATTGAAGCGAAGTGACTATTAAAGTGGGACAATTGAATTCAAGATCTAAAAAAGAAGGCGTGTTACGTAAAGTTAGTTACTCGCTTCGGATAGTTGGTAAGTACCGAGGTACTTATCTAGGTTAGGTACTACCTAAGTACTTGCTATGCAAGTCTAAATTCTATAGCTTCCAATGGCTACACGATCTTTCCAATTATACCTATGTTATGACTATAAGCTACGTGCGTAAGAAATAGGAATATAAAGTTTCTGTCTATAATTATGGAATGAGCGAGTGAATAAAATTACTTGAGGTAGTTACGAAGCTTGTCTTCATCTCATGTCGTTAAGAATCCATAGGATTAAATTTCTACCTACTTAACACTTCATCGAAATTCATCCGTATTATTTACAACTTCTCTTCTCTTTGACACATCTCCTAACAACCTTGAACTACCGTCAAAGTCGAGTAATATTCTTCATCCTTAATATTCCTATATTCCTATATTCCTATATTGTATATCTTTAAGCTCACCTCGCTATTCACTCGTGGCATCTCGTTGCCGTTACCTAGTCGTCAATTTTCATTCCAGGGACTCTTCTAGACTCCTTCACTTGTCACCTAGGTAGGACTCCTTAGCCCCTATTCAAGACAACCCATTCCTCCCCCCGTGGACCCCCCTACACATCATCTTACGGCCGGAAATCCTGACTCATCTGTCGCCTGGTACACCAACATCATTCTTGGACATCTTCACTCTAGTCATGCGCCATGGCACCCATTAACACATCCCGCCTGTCTATAACTTATGGGTATGGGCATTGGACTCCAATTCCCAGACTACAATAACCATAACCTTTCTACAATATCTATTTGAATATGTTCATTTTCTACCCTGCTGCCTATAAAGAGACAATCATACTATATCGTTCCGATTTGA